GGCCGGCGCGCCAGGCGACCCGCAGGGCCCGCGCCCGCCTCCGTGTCCGTCTCCACGTGGCTCAGCTCGCTGCGCTCGTCGTCCGCCTCGTCACCCGCACCCGCCCGCCGCCCGCCGGGGCCCGAGCACACGCTGCGGTCCATGGTGGACAGGGTGGAGTAGCCCGAGACGATGGAGCGCGTGTCCGCCGCAGGCCGCTCCTCCGGCGCCGCCGGGAGACTGAGGCGCCCGGGGGCTTCGGGGACAGCGGCACCCGGCAGCTGCTCCTCCGGTCGGTCCTGGGCCCCCGGCGCCGGCGTCCCCGTCCCGGACTTGTGTGCCTCGTGCTCCGAGTCGTCGTCGGTGCTGCTGCCCAGTCCCCGCGCCTCCCGCCGCTTCTTCCGTTTGCGGTTGACGGCTGAGATGAAGGAGATCGCCAGCATCTCCCTGGTGTACGGCTCCTTCTTGGGGGCCCACGAGCCCTGTGGGGGAGGCAGGTCAGTATTCAGGAGGTGCTCACACTTGAACCACTGACCCCCGCCCCCGCTGGAGTGTCTCATTCTTTTCTAGGGTGACCCCCTCAGTGTCGCTGCCCAACATCGCCTCTGGCCCAGCTCTGAACCTCAGCTCTGCTCACCCGTGGCTGCATTCCGTTCCATATCCGTGTACAGACGCCAGGGGAACCCCGTTAAACAAGCTCCGGTAATAAGTCTCTCCACACTGAATAACACTTGACAGTTTGAACCCATTTCCCATCTTCGAATTCCTCTTTCCCTGTCAGGATCCTACCCTCCAGGGAGGTCCGCTCACTTCTCACCGGAAACCTGCCTCTCCACCTACTTGACACAGAGCCTGCCAGCCTTCACTTCCTCTCTGCACCTCACCAGCACTTCAGTCACCCCACCAATCCCAAACCCAGGCCACTCCCGCCCTGGCTTCTGTTGCCAAAAGTCACAGAAGAATCCCAAGTTGTGATTTCCCGCTCTAAGCTGGGTAACTTCCTGCCCTTGTCCTTACTGGAACCAGCTCCGGGTTAAGCTCTGAAACCTCTTCAGTCTGCCCTTAACAGTTCTCCCTGCGGGGACCACTGCCCACCAGTCCCCCTCATGCTGGTTTGCATCCTCCCTGCTGGTCTGCCCTCTGCCTTTTTTTCCCCCTCTGCCTTTTAGCAAAGGAAGAATCTAACATGCCAAGCAACATTTTATTCGTCCCACCACCTACTTCTGAAGAAGCTTCACCCAAATCTCTACAGAGCCCCTGAACTCTTCTTGCACCTGTGACTCCCCCTGAATTCCTGCAGGCACTGAACTCTGCCTACTTACCCCTGCCCCATCTGTGTCTACCCTCAACATGATCATCTGACTCCTCCACCACCACCCCTTCACACAGCCATGATCTCTGGCTGCTCCTGAAACGACTCCCAAAGCCTCTGTTCAGTCTCTCATTCTGCCTTTCCTGGCTCTTTCCATCCTAACAGGGCTCCCTACCTCCCTCCTTACCTCACCCATTCCCTCTTCCTCCTCAGCAGTCTTTCTGTGATCTTTCTGGTGCTTAGAGACCTACAGTTTGACCATCCATGTCAGCTGGTTTCACCCAGCCTAGCCCATTGGCTCCAGTCCAATAGCTGGGTAGGGCACACCAGGACCATGGTCACCACCATCCGCCTCATCATCATCATCATGGGGTGTCAGAAGGGCAGGCTCGAGGGCAGAAAACTAGCTGGCGATGGGACAGGGGTAAGTGACAGAAGTCCTTCTGGCCTCATGTCCTCAGCTGTCAGATAAGGACATCATGGCCTCTCCTCAGAGGGCATTTGTGAAGATGGCTAATTCTGAGCACAGTAACAGCCACAGAGCAAATGCCCAGTAAATGGTACCACTGACAGTACTGTTGGATATTTTTTTTTATGGAACACTTCACGAATTTGCGTGTCATCCTTGCACAGGGGCCATGCTAATCTTCTCTGTATCGTTCCAATTTTTTTTTTAGTATATGTGCTGCCAAAGCGAACACTGTTGGATATTTTTAATTTGAGAATCAGTAATGGGAAAAAAAATTACCAGGCATGGTAATTGGTAATGACTGGACTGATAATCTGCACCAAGCAAGTTGTCAGCCTTCAGTTCCTCCAGAGAAGGGGATCCTTAATGGAGGTCCTGAGATAGGCACTGGGACCCAAGGGCTGCCAGCACCCTGAGGTTGCTACAGGGCTTCTGAGGGAGGGTGTCTTTCTAGAACAAGAGTTCAGAGCTTTCCCCAGATTCCTGAAGGGCCCAAGGCTCCAGGGTCTGCAATATTGTGGGGTTTTGACCAATGCACAAGTTTTAATGTGGTCAGAAAGTTGTCCCTCATGTAGAGGTGACAGCTAAAGTAGGATGGGACAAGGCCCTGTAGAGGCTTATCTATGGAAAATAATGCCCATGGCAGTTAGGTTTAAGTTACTGAATGTATGTAACTTCACTCAAGTGCTCACAGTTGGTGATGGAAACTGACAGTGGCTACAAAGTGCTCAATGTGGCACTCAGACAAGCCACGCCCACCATCCCCTGCATAGCCTGGGAAGCCCTTCCTCAGGTGGGTTAAGGAAATGTTTAAAAACAAGTGGTGAAATAAAAAATAAAGTTAGGGAGGTCGAGTTAGGAGCAGGGCTTCTCCCTGGGCTAATGGTCATCCTTGGTTACTACAGGCAACACAGAGTTGAATAGGGGTGAAGGGTAACAGAGAAGACAGAAGAAGTTGGAGCTAAGTTGCTAAGGAGCCCTCTGAGCAGAACACTGATGCACACCACCTCCATGGAGGAGAGTGAGAGCAAGCCAAGAGAAGTCTGCGGGGTGTGCCCTGGTCAAACGCCCACCGACAGCCAAAACCATCTTTGCAGGAGGCGGGACTGGAGTGTGGGGCTGACACCACATTGCTCTCCTATACACTGCCTGAGAGAGCTGGGGAGACAAGGGATTGTTAAATCTAGAACAATGGTTTTCAGCTGCTATTTTAGCCTGAGAGCAAGCTGTTCAACTAGAATCCTCCCTAGAAACCCAGCTTCCTGAAACAGAACAAAGCCATGCCCGGCTTACACTGAGGAGGGTGAGGCTAGAGGCCGCCCCCTCGGCACTCCCCTACACCTGCTGGTGGTGATGACCCCCAGGGAGCTCTAAGAGCACAGTTTGACAACCGCTGACCTAGATTTTTAAAGTTAGACAAGATCCAGAGACTGGGAGTGATAGATTCAGCCCTGCCCTTGAGGAGCTCATAGCCTGGGGAAGGACCAGGCCTGGATTTCCAAGCAGCGATTCACCTACACGAGGATGCCACATGTTCTCAGATGCCCAGTGCCTCCTCCCCTGGCTCTGACCCTGGCACCTGAGTGGTCAGACCCTCTGGTACCCTGCTTTCCCGAGGCCTCACCATGCTAGCTGTCACTATCCATTCATAAGCTGGTGCCCTAATCTTGGGCTTCTCTTTCTCAGGGCTTTGGCTGGCTTGTTTTGATGCAGTTCCTGGGCTGGAAAGCTCAAGAACGTGGAACTTGAAAGCAGAGGGTCAGAACTCAAGACTGTGGAGCATTTACCAAGAAATGCCATCTCTCCCTGAAAACACATTCAAATTTTTCATTACTTAAACTCTCTGAGCCTTGGTATTCTTCTCTAAAATAGGAGGATACAGAACTCTAGGGGTCTTTGTCATGATAAGGTGGGTTAGGGGTTTTTTTACAAGTAAGATAAATTGTCAGCATCTAGTACATGCCCAGAAAATATAAACTGACTTCCCTTTTGTCTCGCACTAGTGATTTTGATCACTACTTATCTCACACTAAATATCACACTAGTGAAATCTTATCAGCAATGATGTCAGTTTGAAGCCTGATTCGGGCCATGGTCTGAGAGCTGGACAATGAATAAAGAGGACAGATGAACTGATCCCTGTGAGCTGTGGAGCTGGAGAAGAGTACTGAATGTCCCATGGACTGCCAAAGGAACGAGCAGATATGTCTTGGAAAAGGTGCAGCCAGAGTGCTCTTTGGAGACAAGGATGGCAAAACTTTGTCTCTCATACTTTGGACATGTTGCTAGTAGAGGCTAGTCCTTGGAAAGGGCGAGGCTTGGAAAGGTGGAGTGTCAGAGAAAGAATGGAAGACCCCCACTGAGATAGATGGCTTGACATGGTGACTGCAGCAATGAAGAGGCTGAGTGTATCAGACGATGAGGACGGAGTAAGGTTCAGATCTGCTCTTTGTGGAGTCACACTCGACTCGACAGCACTTAACAACAAACATTGATCTTGAAGGCTCTCTGGTGGCTTAATCTGTGCCATGTCAGTGCTATAACCAAAGGTCACTTCATTCTTGGCAGTTTAAATTCTCCAGTGGCTCCATGAGTGAAAGATGGCAGACAACTTCTGTTAAAATGTTTAGCCTGGAAACCCAGCGGAGGGGCACTGTGAGTCAGAATGGACTCACTGGCAGGGGTCTGCATTTGAATGATTTAGAGTTACCTACTGGTCCACACACAATGGAGTAAGTCCCTGAGTCAGCTTAAAGGCTTTCTAAAGCATGTTCTATGTTCAAGTCCTGTAACTAACAGCAGGACTTCTTAAGGTACTCTCAGGCTAATTATGGGAGTCAGGCGGGCCTAGACTGGCAAGCTGAACATGCTAGGGCCTTCAAAGGAATCAATTTTATCCCCAGAGGCTTCAGGGAGAGTTGGCCTGTGAGCTCTGGGAGGCCAGTAGTGGGGTCTGTTGAGGACAGAAGGTAAGTGAGGATGTCTTTTAGACAGGAGGGCCTGTCAGGGCTCTGTGAAGGAGCCAAATCCACCTAGAACCACACAGGGCTGCTGAAAAAACAGCTGGTTTCCCTCAGGCCTGGACCACACCCAGAGGCCTGGGCCAAGTTCTAGACTCCAAGAAGCTCAATCTTACTTTTGCCATTCATTTCAGACTTCCTTTTTCAGCTTACTTCCCTCTCAGTACACTCAGAAAAGAGGAGCCAGCAGCAGGGAACACCCCAACCCTCTACCACCAACTCTGCTGGCGGCTGTGCTCACTCTTTCCTCTTCCTATTACACCTTGGGAAGCTCCCCCCGAAGCACAGGCATTCCAACCTCCTCAGATCCCAGCCCCTCCTCCAGCTTCTCTCTCATCAACTTCCCTCAGGGTCCAACCACAATTCTCCCAATCCCTTTGACTGGAAAGCAAAGTAATCTGACTCATATGAGGAGAAAACCTTCTGAATGACCTTGACGCTTACCTTGGACTTGGCTGAACTACAGGTGGTAGAATCTATTGGCCAGAGAGAGAAAGAAAAAGAAAAGTTAGATCAGGGCAAGAGAGGACAAGTCTTATGAACACAATTCCTCTCCAAAAACCTGCTTCAGAAACTAGGGAGGTACCAATCCTGACTTTTCCCAGGCCTCGAGTGTGGGCCTCTGATGACATTTACTACGAGGTAGGGATGCCAAAAATGATCTCAACCACTAGTGCCTTTTGAGGCAGGAAGTGACATCATGTTGCTAGCCATTGACACTCATTTGCCCGGGGTAAGGGGAGCTTTTCTTGGGAGTTGTTTCCTTTTACCCTCCCCTGCCACTCTTGTCCCTGTGATTCTGAAGCTCTGGAGAGAAAAATGCCAAACATTAAACGCAGTCCACGGAAACCACAACAGTGAAACACAGCAAATTACAGATGCTCTGAGAAATGGAGACCACACAGGGCATAGGGAGGAAAGTGCCCCACATCCCCCCTGAACACCGCCCCAGGACACGAGCGGGGAAGAGGGACCACTTGGACATCGAATGAACAGGCAGAGATGAAGTGATGGGACTCAGGAAGTGATGAGAGGCTTGAAAGGCCCCATGCCTTATTGGGAGTGTCCCCTGAGTATAACCAGAGTTGGGAGGACGAGTAAAACCAGGCCTGCTCCCTTAACACCACTGGTGTAAAGATGGAGCCAGGAACAAGGACGCAGGCTGAATGGACTTTCCCAGGCCCAGTGGGGGTAGCGGGCAGGGTGCGGTTAATCCACACTCTCTGGCAAGCAAGTTAGATGCCTCTTCCCCAGGCCACCACCCAGTCCATGGTGAGAAGAGCGAGACGGGCTGACCACACAGCAACACACGAGGGCAGGGGAGTGGCAGCAGGTGATTAGAAGAGGCAGGGGGCTCCTTCCTGTCTGCATCCCACCCCTATATTTTCTGGTCCCTTCTCTGAGCTTGCTTCTTGCCACTAGAGGTGCTGTTGGCATCCCTGTCAGAGACAAAAGTAGTAGATGGAGTGGCCATGGAGGTGAGGCTAACTCGTGGCCTGTCAGCATATACGGCTATGCTCTACACACTTGGAATGTTAATTTTTCAGACTGCCAGTCCTTCTTATGTGACTTTTTTTCCTAAGTGTTCTTGAACTGCCAACCTTTTGGAAGGCCTTAACCATCTGGACCATTGAGTGACTCTGTCAGAAATGCGATGAGCTTGAGCCCAGAAGGCACTGGCCATTATCTCTGGGCTCATAAGCCATTTCTCTTCTGCCACGCAAGGGCCAGAGGCCCTGGAAACAGATTTAATGGCTGTGTGACCAGGGGCCCCACTTTCATAAGTAAGAAGAGTCAGGCCCTGGAGTAGGAGCTATAGATACAGAGAAGATTCTGAAAGTTGCATCACTGGTATCAGGAAAGGCGGGGTCCTGCTATCAGCTAAACTTTCCCTGGGACCAAGTTCCACAAAGGAATGATGTAAGGAGGGTGGCAGAGTGTGGGACTATGGAGGGCACCCCTCTGTGCCCACCCTTGCTGGTAAGGGAAAGGATCTAGCTCTATCCAGCAGCTCCTTCTCCTGAGAAGGGCCTTAGGGGCTAGAGTTCTAAGCACGCATGGTGGCTGATATGTCAGGGGAAGGTCCAGGACCTGACAACCTGCCCCCCTCACGCCTGCCCTGCCTTCTTATAATCACCCACCACTGTTAGTGCCCGAGGTCGCGACACCGCACTGTACCCTTTAAATCTCCAACAGGTCCGCTGGAGGAGGGGGAGGAGAGAAGGGGCAGTAGGGGGGAGAGGAGAAGGTCAAGGGGGGAGAGGGAGCACAAGGAGAAGAGGAAGGAAGAGGGGTGGAGGGGTGCAGGAGAAAAGGAAGAAAAATTAAAAAGAGAACATGCCCAGAAGGCCACAGCCCATGAGAAATTAAAAGGCTCAGGAAGAAAACCAGTGAAGGAGGGCAGACAAAGCAGTGAGGCGGCTCCCACCCAGCCCTGGGTGGGGTGGCTCAGCGGCTAAGGCAAGCGGGGGCTTCCTCGGGGGAGAGGGCCCTGGCAGGCCCCAAGCTCAGCAGCAGGGTGGGCAGGGCCCCTGGAGCAAGAGCAGGGAAAGTGGTCATGTGGCCAGGCATCTGGGACCCTCAGGAATGCAGACCCCCTACTGTACATATCCCACACCCTAGCCCCAGAACTCACCGGAACCTGGGTCAGCTGGGGCCACCGTCCTGCCTATGTTGGGCAGGAGGTATTCGATATTGGGCACTGACTGGGGCTCCTTGTCATCCACCGGGGTCTGCAAACAAAGAGCAAGCATGCCCTCCGATGGCTGCATGACGACCCCTCAAAACAAGGTGCTCTGAGGGTGGCTCATTCCTCTTCCACCAGACTGGGGTGCCAGGGCAGGGGCACTTCCCTTATGAGGCAGTTGCCACTCTGTTCCCACTCTGTCTGCTTTATGCCTTCCCTACACCTGATGGGACCCCTGATGGTGCTTCCTAAGATTTTGATCTTCTACAAAAGACCAAAGTGTGGGCCATCGTTTCTGAACTAGGCTCCTCAGGGTTAGGCCTAGGTCTCCCCATCTGACTGAGGTCTCATCAGACTGAAGAAGGGTCACTGCTTTACACTAGAAAAGTCCTCAGGCTTGCTACCCCTGTCCCTACCTGGGGAAATGGCCTACCTGGGACCAGAACCCTCCACACCAGCCCCTGTATCACTTACTCTCTCTCCCTTGTCTTCCTCGTCGCTGAAGAACCAGTCTGACTGCAGAGGAGACAAAAGGAAGTAAAAGAAATCAGCATGGAAAGGAGCTGAGGGAGGCACAGGCCCTCAACCTGCTCTTGAAGACCCACTCAGATGCCACGTGGACCAGGGAGGGAGGAGGCACTAAGATGCAAGGGGCCTTCTTACAAAGCCCAGACTTACCAAACCTGCTGAGACTTGGGGAACCCTGAAACTACAGCCCTGAGGTAGTCCATGAATCCTGAACCTAAACTCCTCCTGGAGGTCACCTTTTAGCTAAATAATGGGTCAGCTCATAAATATAAAGAATGTTACCAGTGAGTAGACCTTGGATGAGATGGATTGACACAGTTACTGGGGTAATGGGGGTCGGTGTGTTGGAGACGGTGAAACTGCTTCAGGATAGGGCAGGGTTCAGAGCTGCTGTGCACAGGGCTGCTATGAACTGTAGTTGACTCGATGGCACATAAGCAACAACAATGAACACCTATTAAAAAATTACCTATACTGAAAACTAAAACAACAAAATAGCATCTTAGCCCAGAAAAATGACAAACAGAAGACGACCACAAATGCTGGTGAGGGTGTCGAATATCTGGACCCCTCACGCACTGCTGGCAGGACTGTACGATGGTACAACCACTACAGAAAGCAGTACAGAGCGTCCGTAAAACGTCAGAAATAAAAATACCACAGGATCTGGCAATCCCTCTCTCTTCCTGCTGTTGTGTCAGTCTCTATGTATAGCTGACCTTCCACTAGATGTCCAAGTCTGTAAACTGCCTGGGAGGAGACTGCTCATCTTTCTGCCACAGTAACTGGTAGACTGGAACCATCAAAGACCTTTGGGTTAGCAGCATGGCTCCCTAGGCATGATGCCAGCGAGCTCCCTCACAACGTCCCTGCTGGTGTCTAGCCCACAGAACCAAGACCCGTTACACGACACAGTCACATCACTCTGTCAGAACCCTATTCACAACTGCAAACCAGCATCTATATGAGACCAAACCAAAACGCCAAAATCAAACCCACTGTCATCGAGTCGATTCTAATTCATAGCGGTCCTGCGGGACAGGAGAACTGCCATCCAGTGTTTCCAAGGCAGGAAACCTGGAAGGAAGTCGCTTCATCTCCCACAGAGTGGCCAGAGGGTCAGAATGTGGCCTTCCAGTTAGTCGCTCAGCTGCGTGCTTGACCACTGCATCACCAGGGCTCTCATATGAGACCAAATGGTAAACAATTACACTGAAGCACAGATGAGGGGCTTATGGAGACATGGAACCCACACTGCAAATGAGCATACTGACATACTGTAGAAAATGCAGCCAAAGGTGCTGAACAGTTTGTGAAGGAGTCAGATGGAACCTATTTGCTGTGTAAACGTCCATGGAGAATATAATAAATATTGTTGTTGTTATGTGCCATCGAGTTGCTTGCGACTCATAGCGACCCTATGTACAAGAGCCCTAAACCCTGCTCTATTCTGTGCCAACCTCACTGTCTCTGACACACCTACTCCCACTATCCAAATCACTGAATCGATCCATCTTATCGAGAGTCTTCCTCTCCTGCGCTGTCCCTCCATCCTCCCAAACATGACGTCCTTCTCCAAGGACTGGTCCCTCCTTGCAACATGTCCAAAGTATGTCAGACAAAGCTTCAGAATCCTTGCCTCCAAGGAACAGCCCGGCTTCACCCTTATTACTTAAAAAAAATTTAAAAAGGCAAACCCCATCCCCACTCCTCTGCAACAGAGCCTGGGCTGGCCTGGCCACAGAAGATCTTGGAACTCTACTCCCCAGACTGTGAGGGAAAAGGTTGTGTCCCAGCGTGGGAAGGAAATGCAGCCTATAGCGGGTGGTGTCCAAGGACAGGAGGGTGACAGTTTTAGAGAGCTGCTACATTTTGTCCTTCCCCGCCCACTACTGTCCAAGACAGGGGGGCCACAGTGCCCCCTAGTGCCAGCTGGGTCTATTGGCAGGAGACCCCAACAGAGCAAAGAACAGTCAATTGCTGAGAATTATCAAGAGGTTGTCTAGGAAGTAAAGAGACAAGGCTCCTTGGAGGCAAGGATTCTGAAGCTTCATCTGACATACTTTGGACATGCTACAAGAAGGGACTAGTCCTTGGAGAGGGACATCATGCTTGAGAGGGTGGGGGTGGAGGAACAGCATAGGAGAGGAAGACCCTCCATGAGATAGATTGATTCAGTGACTGGGGCAATGAGGGTAGGTGTGTCAGTGACAATAAGATTAGCACAGGATCAGAGCAGGGTTTAGGGCTGTTGTACACAGGGTCGCTATGAGTCACAGGTGACTCAACCATACATAACAACAAAGAAACAAGGGCTATCTTATAAATGTCAATCAGGATAGAAGACAAATACTTAAACACATTTTGCAATTTTGTGAAATTCTAAGTTTCTGAAAAAATAAAACGAAAGGCAGCCTGTTCCTACAAAAGCCCTGGTGCCATAGTCTGTAGTGAGTTGTCCTGCTAACCCAAAGGTGGCCAGCGGCTCTGCAGGAGAAAGATGGGCAATTTACAGCCTCAGAAATTCAATGGAGGGTCAGCAGTGAGTCATCTGCCTTGAGAGCAATGAGAGTTTTTGTTCACACAAAGGAGCAAGTATCGGATGTAATTAGAGCTCTCCATAGCAATATCCAGACCCAAAAAGTCAAGGAGGTAATATTTGGGCAAGTCACAGCTCCTCTTCGTACCCTAGTTTCCTCCTCTGTAAGGTGTGAGGACTGGTCTGGGTGCCATAAGGCCCCTTCCAAGTCCACTGCCTTTGGATTTGGCTCAAGAGGAGCAATGTCTCTAGCGCCCTCTGCCGGCCACTTAGGGCCCTCATTCCTAAATGGACAACAAGAATTCATAACACAGGACGCCTGTGCCTCTACAAAAGCCTTGAGGAGAGAAGTGATCAGCACTAGTGCAGGGGGAGGGGGCCCTCTTGCCTTCAGTCTGTGCTCTCTGTCCTGTCCCACCCTACTCATGCCACCCTCCAATCAAGGCATCACCGTCACCTCCCTGAAGCCTCAGGGATGCCTTTGGACCTCTGCCGCTGCTTCTGCACCATCCATCCATTTCTAATAGCTTGCCTCTCCGTGAAACCACGTCCTGAAAGCACACCTCCGTGCAGGCCTTCCTTTTCCCACTGACCCTCACACTGATCATGGAAGCTCAGAAGCTTCCTGATTCTCCTACTGGGGACTTGGTATCACAGAAGGACAAGGATTCTAAGGATCTGTTCCTGTTTCCCACCACTCAGCTATCCATTTGTCACACTGTGGCGGTGTGTGTCTTGCTTTGCTGCTGTCAGTTATCCCACAAATATCAGCAGGCTCGCCTATGGTATACAGCTTTCAGAAGAGCTTCCAGGCTTCAGCAGCTTAGGAAGAAGCTTGATGGTCCACTGAAAAGCCTGGCCAGTGAAAACCAGATAGCCGTGGAACCCCGTCTGATAGAGTGCCCCTCAAGAAGATAAGCTCCTCTAGGCGGCACCACAGTGAGCTCAAACACCGCCACCATGTGCCTCACGGATGGCCTGGGGCTGGGCAGTGTTTCCCTCTACTGCAAACAGGGGAAGCGAGAGGTAGACTGCGCTTGCCAGCACCTAAGAACAACAGTGACTGTCTTGCAGGCCACTTCTTCTGAAGGGCATTTGTTACCCAGGCAGCATTTTCTTACGTCTCCCCTGAACACAGTGAGACTGTGTGGAAGCCAGGCACTCAGAGGGGGTGGGACACAGGCTGGGTCCGTCCAGAGGACGCATGCACATAGCAGGCTGCTTACGTGCTGGATCAGCGTCTCGACAATCTTGTAACGATCGGGCATGTGGGTCACCATGTCTGTCATGTTGTCCTCGGACGTCCTCACCAGTGTTGGCCCAAAGACCAGGGCCAGGTTACGGGGCTCCATCTGGACAGAGAAGAGAATCAGGTCAAGGTCAACATCTCTTCAGGTTCTGACCTCCAGCACCTCCCGTGCTCTCTCAGCTGTGTCACTGACCAAACCCTGAGCTACCCTCATCTTGGGGGCCACGTGCCCCTGCGTGGGCACAGCAGTGCTGGGCAGGTAGAGCACAGGCTGTATTCCAGGCCCACTCACCGCAGGCCCAGTGGAACCTGCACACGCATAGTGGTCAGCACCTCCCCTTGCTGGCGGGGGGAGGCCCTGGAGTGGGGACACAGCAGTGGTCCTAAGGGTATTTGGGGACTATGATAAAAACTATAGCTCTCATCCCAAGCCCCTCACCAGAAAACCAGAAGATTTAAGGGGTTTGATTCAGAAAATGCATCAGGAGGGATGTGAGCTTAGATCAGAGGAAAGACTTCTATTAGATATAGGAAGGCTGTGATTCTCTGCCTCTAGAAGACGCAAAACCCAGGAGAGGGCTCCCAGTGAGAAGCAGTGCAGGCATGCAGGCGGGCAGAGTAAAGACAGAATGACTTTTAAGGAGGGCAAGCCAGAGGGGCTTCCCAAGGCTCCATGCCAGGGTCACACCCACCTTGTTTTTCTCTGAGTGGTCAGCAATGGTCTTCAGATGGCCCACGAGGAATTTGAGTGTTTCATAGTAGTGTCCTGGGAGATCCCGGATCTGGGTGGGAGAGGGAGGAGGGATGTGGGCTAGGCTGTGATGCTCCTCACATACCCCACAGGAACTCCCATTGCTGGACCTGGGGGAGCCTGGACTCTTCTCCCATTACCCATACAGATGGAGAAATCTTAGCTCAGACTCCAGAAAGGCCTCTTTAAGGTTACAGAGGGATCAGTGGCACTGGGCCCAGGGCTCTTGGGACAGTTAGGGACAGTTAATGCCCTCTCAGTCCACTGGTGCCTTTTCCTGTCAGCTTTTCTCTTGCCTTACCAACTTCCGCAGTGTCTTCATCCTCTCTCTCGAGTCTTCGATGCGATTGGCCTCGATGAAGTCGTTGTACTTGTCTAGAACACAGTGGAGACTCTTTAGAGAGGTGGAGCCGCTCCTTCTTACACTCTCAGGGACGGGGGGAGGGTGGCAGGTCCTGGCTGGCTGAGGGGATCCCCTGGGAGGCCAACGTCTGCTGTCCATGCGGTTCTGGTTTTTGGGGTTTCTTGGCCTTGTGTTTCTGTGACTTCCACCCATCAAAGCTGCACCCACATGCATACTTGACCTGGTTACACTCAGGTGTGTTTGGGAAGAAATAAGCCCTGAGTGGAATGTTGATACCAAAAAGGGGTCCCATCCTGCCTGGTCTCCAGGACATCAAGGTTCAGCAGGTCAGAAGAGGAAAGATGGGGGGGGCCTTTTCTGTCTCCAGATTCCATTCCAGGACCTCCCCAACTCCCTTCACAGGAAACTTTACAATGGAAAGTAATGCCAAGAACAGCTGAGGAAATTTTCCCTTATTGCAACAAAATACACGTAACATTAACATTGTCATTTTAATAATTTTTAAGTGTGCGCTTCAGTGGCGTTCATTACAGTCACAGTGCTTTGTCACCAACACCACTGTTTCCTAAACTCTTTCATTACCCTAAACAGAAACTCTGTACCCACAAAGCAGTAACTATCTATTTTCCCATCTCCCCAGCCCCTGGTAAACCCTATTCTAGGTATTTCATATGAGTAGGATCATACAGCACTCGTCCTTTTGTGTCTGGATTATTTTACTTGTTATGGAACCCTAACTGATCCTGCGCCATCCACACAACTACTACACACTCGAGCCCACTGCTGCAGGCACTGCGTCACTCTATCTCCTTGAGGAACTGACTCTCTTTCATTGACCTTTTATTTTTCCAAGCATGATTTCCTTCTCCAGGGACTGGTCCCTCTTGACAACACGCCCCACGTATGTCTTACCATCTCTGCTGCTAAGGAGAACTCTGATTGCATTTCTCTCAAGACCTTTGTTCAAGCGTCTATGATATTCAGTCTCTTTTTTGTACATTTCAGTCGTATTTATCAACATCACAACTCGAAGGAATCAACTCTTCAGCTTTCCTCATTCATTGTCACTTTCCACCGGCATAAGAAGCAATTAGAAACATCATGGCTTGGGTCAAGTTCCTTCTAGTCTTTAAATTGACATCCTTGCTCTTCAGCACTTTAAAGAGGTCCTCGGAAGGAGACTCCCCTGATGCAATACATTATTTGAGTTCTTGACTGCTGCTTCCCTGCATGTTGGTTGTGGATAAAAGCGGAATGAAATTCTTGACAACTTAATATATTTCCAAGGTTTGTTCATGCCGAAGTACATTATTAGAACTTCACTCCTGGGGAGCTCTCGTGGTCTAGTGGCAAGGAGCTGCAACTACAATCCCAGAGGCGAATGGTTCGAATCCACCAGATGCTCTGCCGGGTAAGGAGGGACAATCTCCTCCTGTACCAGTCAGATCTGATTTGACGGTACACGCACATAAAAATAATAAAATAATAATAAAAAAAGAACTTCACTCCTTTTTTGTATTCATCTAGGAACCCTGGTGGCATCATGGTTAAAAGACTCAGATTCTAGCTGAAAGATCAGTGGTTCAAAGCCACCAGAGACACTCTGAGAAAGAAAGGTGTGGCTGTTCGCTTCCATCAAGGTTTATAACATTGGAGTCCTAACAGGGAAGTTACTCTGTCCTGCAGGGTCACTTTGAGTCAGAACAGACTCTGTGACAGTGGTTTTTGTATACACACACATCTCTCACATCTTTGGTTTTCTTTATGCTGGTTTGTAGTCCTTTATATATTCTGGATATTAAATCTTTATCAGCGATATGATTTATGATTTCCAAACATTTTCTCCCATTCTTAGACTGTCTTTTCATTTCCTTAATAATGACCTCCTATGTACAAAAGTTAATTTTTTTTATTAAGTCCAATTTATCTTTTTGTAGTTGTTATTCATCCTTTTGGTGTTACAAGAATCCACTGCTAAACTTAAGGCCCAGAAGATTTTGCTACCGTTGCTGTTAGGGTGTCCAGTTGATTCTGACTCATGAGGCCCAACAGAACGAACCCCTGCCCGGCCCTGCACCACCCTGACAAGCGTTATTGCTACGTCTGGGCCCGCTGTTCCAGTCACTGTGTCAGTCTATCTCTTCGAAGGTATTTCTCTTTTTTTTTTCTAATCCTCTACTTTACTAAGCACGAGGACCTTCTAAAAACACGTCCCTCCTGACAACATGTTCAAAGTATATGAGTCAAAGTCTTGCCATCCTCACTTCTAACGAGCATTCTGGAAGCACTTTATCCAGGGGAGAATTGTTCATTCCATTCGACTGGCAGTCTCAGGTATATTCAATATTTTTCACCAGCAGCACAATTCAAATGCGTCAATTCTTCTTTGGTCTTCTTTATTCACTGTCCAGCTTTCATATGTATATGAGGGGATTCAAAGTACCACAGCTTGTGGCAGGCACACCTTAGTTTTCAAAGCGTCCTCTTGGCTTTTTAACACCTTAAAGAGGCCTTTTATAGATTTACTCCTATGTTTTCTTCTAAGAGTTTTATGGACTTAGCTTATATTTGTCACTGATTCAGCTTCATTCTTCTGCACTTGGAAATCCAGTTGCCCCAATACCATTTGTTGGAAAGCCTATTCTTGCTCTTACTTAATGTATCTGGTGCCCTGACCAAAATCAATTGGCTATTAGTATATGAGTTTATTTCTAAACTCTCTATTTCATTGGTTTATGTCTATCATTACACTAGTCAGACTATTTTGGTTATTTTGCAATTCTGTATAAGTTTGCGGGCTGAATTTTCCATTGTTGGGGAAAAAAATCTAGTGGAATTTTTATAAAGGTTGTGTTGAATTGGTAGACTGCTTTGGGTAATACAGACATCTTAAAAATATTAAGTCTATGCTCCCAAGCCCAAGGTGGGTGACTCAACTCTGCCGTCCTCAGGCCTGCCTTTAATTGTTTTTGGTGAAACATTCATCTAGATCGTGTAACCCTGGTATGTCCACTTGCTGTACAGAGATAACTCCTGGTTGCTGGGAAGCCGAACACTGTGACACTGATGAGTCAAATGCAAGAATGGTTACCCATGGTGGACAGTGTTTGGTGAAGCTCCCTGATTAAAACAAGCTTGGAAGCAGGAGTGGCATCCACTTCCACAATAACTTGCCTCTGGAAACCCTATGAACCTGACGAAAGGATGAAAGTTATACAGGAGGTGTCCAGGACTTTCATTCATAGGGTCACTATGAGCCACCTGCAACTTGTCGGCTCTTAACAACAACAACAAAATCAACAACAATACCATGTTTTTACTGTTGTTGTTGTGTATCACCAACTCATAGCTGACCCTCCAGCAGGTTTTCAGAGGCAGTGAGTTGCATGGGAGGAGACTGTACATCTGCCTCCTGTGGAGCAGCTGGTGGATTTGAACCGAGTGCCTAGGGCTGGCAGTACAACTCCTTACCACTAGGCTACAAGAACTCCCTTTCTAATACTATAAATACATATCTTTCCATTTATTTTAGTATTTTTTAAATTTCTTTCAGCAATGTTTTATAGTTTTTCATGTACAAGTATTATAAAGTCAACCTCCTTGGCTGACTCCCCCCCTTTTTTTTTAGCCAGTCAAATTAAGAAGTGGGGAGTTGTATGCCAACTTGCACTGAACTAATGTGAAGAGTTTCTGATAACCCACTCCCATCAAATCAGCCTGGATTTATTTTTAAATATATTATTCCTTTATATACTTTTGTAAATTAAATGCTTCTCTTAATTTGACTTTCAGATTGTTCCATTTACTGGTATAATCTAATTTTTGTGTACTGATCTTTTATTTTACAACGTTGCTGAATTTAATAATTAGCTCTAGTAGATTTCTTCTGGACCCTTCAGAGTTTTCTAATCTTATAGAATGATGTCTTCTGGAAAGAGAGATAGCTTTACTTCTTTTGTTTCTTTTTCTTGCCTAATTGCTCTGGTTAGGACATCAAAAACAATATTAACTAGCAGTAGTGAAAGTGGGCATGCTTGTTTTGTTCCTTATTTTAGAGCAATACTTTTCAGTCTTGCACCATTGAGTATAGTATTTGTTGTGGTGGTTTTAATTTGTGAAGTTTTTAAAAATGCCTTTTTAAAAAAAATTTTTTTAATGCCTTTTATCATGTTGAGGAAGTGCCCTTCTATTCCTAGTTTGTTGAGTGATTTTATCATGAAAGTTTGTTGGATTTTGCTAATTGCCTTTTCTAAATCAATTGAGATGGTCAACTGGCGTTTCCCCCCCCTTTTATTAATCTAGTGGTATGGTATGTAGCGCATTGTACTGCTAACCTGAAGACCATACCTCTCTGGTGAATCCATCGTGGCCTCAAAGAAAATGATAGGCAATTTCCACCCATGTGATTTACAGCCCAGAAACTCCCTAGAGGGTCAACTATGAGTCAGTTCAGACTCATCGCCATAAATTAAGAGGTGTTCTATTAACATAATATATTACATCAGTTTTCCTAGTTGAGCCAACCTTGTATTCCTGGAATAATTTCCACTTGATCACAGTGTATAATCCTTTTAAGATGCTGTGGGATTAAGTTTTCCAGTATGTTGCTGAGAATTTATGCATTTATATTTATAAGGAATATTGGTTTGTAGTTTTCTTTTCTTGTGGTATCATTATCGGCTCATTTAAAGAAAGGATGTGGAGCTCTGGTGGCCTAGTGGCAAGAAGCTGCACTGCAATTCCAGAAGTGCACAGTTCAAATCCACCAGATGCTCTGCTGGAGAAGGATGGTCTCCTCCCGTACCAGTTGGATCTGATTTAACGGTACACGCACAAAAAAATAATGAAAAAAAAGGAAGATAAGGGAGGATTGACCTAGTAGACAAAGAAATATTCTAAAAAGAGAGCATGACTCAAGAAGTATGGTAACACTAAGGAAATACACTCACCAAGTTGTGCCAAGAAATCTGGAGAACAACCACTTGGCCAACTGACTGGAAGAGATCTATATTTGTTCCCATTCCAAAGAAAGGTGACCCAACAGCGTGTGGAAACTACAGAACAATATCATTGATTTCACATGCAAGCAAGATTCTACTGAAGATTATCCAAAAACGACTGGAGCAGCGTATCAGCAGAGAATTACCAGAAGTCCAGGCTGGGTTTAGAAAGGGTCGTGGTACTAGGAATATTATAGCTGATGCTAGATGGATCTTAGCTGAAAGCAGAGAATACCAGAAGAATGTCTATCTATGTTTCATTGATTATGCAAAGGCGTTTGACTGTGTGGGTCATAACAAACTGTGGCTGACTCTGAGAAGAATGGGAATCCCAGAACATTTAATCGTGCTAATGCGAAACCTATACTTGGACCAGGAGGCAGTCGTC